AGAGAAAAACTTTGTATAACTGTACACACATACGTATAGTACAAAAATATATGTATATCAATATCGGTATATGCAAATGTGCATGTTAAAGTAAGAATATAAACCCAAGAAACTTGGTTACATTTTAATCCATGTAGAATCAGAAATTGTGAAACATCGCCATTTTTAATAATAAAAGATACTCTAAAACTACATATATTCTAAAATAGAAGAGTACGAATTATTCTTAATCAAATTATGGAGACCATTAATGGATATTTAATTAATGGTCATTTATATAACCTCCTCTTTTGCCACCTAATCATATCTACCTTACTTTCCCTCCATATTCTTTTGAGAATATCACACAAATTAATTAAACATTTCTGAACAGTTTTTTTATAAGAACATTTGTGAACAGTTGATAACAACGTGGTAGGTTTTTTTTAGAGTTTCTACTAATGTAATAATTACATCATAATATTCATAATAGTGGATATTCATAATATTCATAATAGTGGTCTAAACTAAAATTAAGAATTCGTGTGTCTCTATGTATCCGAGGAGTGAAACTATTGTGAAAATTGATCTGAACCGAACTAAATTCTTATTTTTTTTTTATGTTGGTTCAGTTTGATAACAGTATTTTGATTCGATTCAATTGTAGTATTCTAGTTCTAGTATTCCAAATTCCGATTCTGTTAGGTTATTGTTATACTAAGCGAACGATTATACAAGTGTTTAATCATTCAGATTCGGTTTGGTTCCGTTATTAGCTGAATAACATTGATTATAACCAATCAATTGTCCATTAAGATGCAATTATTTTTATTCTGATTTAGTTCAGTTTTTAATGTGTGTGTGTATATATATATTCTTTTATTAGTATGTAACTATTGAGGAGCAAAATTAGTTTCCTTAATCAATTTGGCTACAAGCAAAAATTATTGTCCATTTTTATGCGAAGGCGTATACCCTTCCACGTTTTAAATATTTGATTATGTTTTATTTTATTTTTTGTCTGGAATTGTTTAGTTTTAACTGATTTTTTGTTTGATTATGTTCTGTTATATTAAATCATATAAACTTTTGGTTGTATTGTTAGGGTTAATCTTTTGATAAATTAATGTATAGATCGTTTAAAAAAAATTAATGTATAGATGATCATAACGACTAACTCATATCATTTACTAATTATTTGAATTCAGTAATCATTTTTTTAAATGTTTGTTTAAAAAAAACCATGATCAATCTCACGAATAAGCACATTTGGACCTCAACAAATATTTGGATCCCAACAATATTTGTGGTTGGGGTACGAGTAAATTTGATATCGGTACTTTGGATGTACACCAACTAATTTATGACGTCATCATCATCATCATCATCATCATCATCATCACTTGTTTCCCTTGATGAAATATAAAGAAAAAGGAAGTAAACAACGAATATACTAACGATCATCCTAAAATTTAGGGTTTTTTTAAAAAAAAACCTCCGGGGTATATGATCACATTAAATGAGCACCAAGTACAACTGTGAGGGGTCAATCTGAGTACAGGTAAGGTAAATTAAATGTCTCTGTATATATATACATACATACGTATATATATGTGTGTATATGTATATGTGTATGAATACGTACACCACACGAACACGATATCAGATTCAGTGTTTCAGATGACGAAGTGACGAAACTGAAGAAATGTCTGAAAATTACTTTCCACAAATAAAAAACAATGGTGGTTTCTTGTGTCATACAACTTTCCAATTTCATCAGCGTCGCATGTACCAATTCTCTTCGTATGATACTGTTATTTTTCGCAATAAATATCATAAAAATCGTAACTAATTCATTTGTATCCAGTTCATATAAAAACTTTAATTTTAATACAATAATAAATTAATTGTGATGTTTGAAATTATAACGGGTTGTATATAAACATTAATGGTTTTACAAATTTTATCTATCGAATTTTGTATGATGATATTTACAAATTATCACGTCAATAATATATAATACGTAAAAAGTAAATAATGAGTAAATAGTTTTTATTTCAATAAAAATTTTCAGTTTTAAGTCAAATATAAAAAATAAATAACATTCACCATCTTTGTTGTGTAAAATATTTTTAAAATATGTCATTTCCAAACAATATCAACGCTAAACACTGTTCTCCAAAATGAAGAAATGAAGAAAAATTAATGACGATCACTATCAAATATATAAATTATTATTATTGTCTCGATTACATATCAATAATATTACAATTTATAAAACTTAAGCCACATTTGTATTTAATCGAATAAGATTTCGAGAAAAGAATCAGTAGATTTGATAATATTTATATGTAAAACTGTTATAGTTTTAAAGATTTATAGTTATATTTAAAATTTTAATAGAATTGATCTATTAATATATTAAAATTGAATTTTATATATTAATGTAATATAAATTAATTACTTCCATTGTTTTATGAGATTTTAAAATAAATATTAATATTTATAGTTTTTTTTTGGTAAATGGTAAATTTTGTATAAAATATATGTTAGAGGAAAATTAACAAGATAACCGATGATGATACATTGGATATTTCATGTCCACTTGGTCCGATCTATGGAAAACATTTTTTCTTCACTTACCGTATATGACATTGTTCACTCTTTTTTGTACTAAAATATAATATATTTCCTAAAATCTATGAAAATTATACATTTTTAGTAAACCTCTCTAAAGATAAAAGTCTCAACTTATCATCAACTATGGTTTGCTATAAATAAAATGTTTAATGAAAATTGTTAGATAATCATAACAAGACAGTAAAATCATATTCACTATTTCAGTTTCAAATCCTTTTTCACTATAAAAATAAATTATGCCTTACATCTATAAATGTATTATTAAAGATTATTTCTGAATAAAAAAAATGTTTTAGATTAAAATTTTAGATTTTTTTTTTCCAGAAAGAAATTGTTGAAGAACCGCTACCCAAAAAAATCACGTAAAGTCTTTTTTTTTATATATAGAAAAAAGAACTTATATATTATTTAAGGAAAGAAATGAAAAATATCTTTACTCGGAGTCTTAGTTTTACATAGTTCAGGGAATTTACCGTGTGTCAGTAAACCGAGAAGCTCCGCTCAATATTTGTCTCCTTGACGTTTTAGGAAGCAACCCTTGTGGGCCAATAAATATGTCCAGTAATTAATTTCCACAGTAAATTTTCACTCTCCATCAAATCAAAATTATTGGTCACAAAACAAAGAAATTAAAATTATTATAAGATGCCAACTATATCAACGTATTATGTAGGTATAAAATGGGAATTACATATATAGATATATTTTAAAAATTTGTTGGAGCACGACTAATAGGATAATTTCAAGTACAATGTAGATCGATATACTCTAATTAATATATCAAATACATGTGGCAATATATATATATATATATATATATATATATATATATCGTGGTCGCTTATGGTTTATAATCTGAATAATGGATAATAAAATTTCTCAAATTATTTTATAAGTTACACGTATATTTATAAAGGTAAAAAAACATAATGAAATTAAGAGGCGTGATTAAAGCAGGTGCAGTTCTTTTCCCATAAAATATGGCTTTTATGTTTTCTGAGCACCCTGACTCTCTCATTTATATTTTTTTTTAAACAATCACTTAATATTTTATTTTACAAAAACTATCACTTAAATAATGCACAAACTCATATTCTTTCTTCATATTTTTCAATATAATTGAAATCCAATTAGTTTCTTGATTCATTTTGCATCGCGAGTATCATTTAATCAATAACTTTTTCTATATTCTTTTCGTTTTAAAATCTTTTTATGTTCAACAAAGGATGTTAATAATTGAAAATTTAATAACTACATATTCATCAACGAGGTCTCATTGTTAGCTAATATATTGATTGTAGATTAATTTAGTATATATATTTATTATAGATTAATTTAATAGATTGCATGAAATTTTTTGGAAAGAATTGAAAAAAAAAAAGAAAGAAAAAGGAGATACCGCAATTAAAGGAAAGGGGAGGACAAAAGAGAGAAGTCTTATGTATGAACAAAGGATTTTCTTACTCAAAAGCCAAATCTTTTTGTACCAAATAAAAAACAACTTATTTCAAGATTAGTTTTTTTTTTTGTAATTAACGTTCCTAATTTAGGTATATAAATAAACATAAATATACTTATTATTAAAAGCCAAACACTAAATACCGAATATAAAATCCAAAAACCAAAATAATTTGTTATCATAAAATTTTGTTAGATCAGACCAGTGTTTATTATTGATTTTTAAAATTATAATAAAAATATACTTTCATGTATTTCTCTTGCCAGAGATCCAAATGACCAAACCTTAACAATAATAAACAGAAAAAAAAATTACACAAAGACCAGAAGCTGTGGAAGGAAAAAAAAACTATCTGAATTTGTATGTCGGATTGGGGAAATCATGGATTCTACGCAACAAGAAAACCAAATAAATAAATTAATAAATAAAACATTTTACTGATTAATTAAAAATTTAACGAAACGGAAGAAACCCACTAACGAAGAGGAGCAAGAGAACAAACCCAAGAACATGCAAACAAATGTGGGGGAGAAAACAGCCTCACGTGGGTCGAAAAATAAAATAAAATTATATAATAATTTTAAAAATAGAATTTTGGCAATATTTTTAATTTCGGAATAAAAAGATTTTTCAATTTAGAAACCCAAAGACCAATCAGGATAATTTGAAGAGTTTTAGATAAATCAAGAACTCAGTTCCATGTCGTGGGTCTGGTCCAGATTATTCACATCAGTATAAAAAAAAAATCTGATTTTTAATAAGAAAAAAAGGGATTACAATTGAAAGATTGGTTAGATAAAGTTAATGATTAAATAAAGAAAATAATAAATAATTAGAAATGGATGACTAAAGTGAGGAAGAAGATATTGCAGAGGAAACGAACATGAGAGGTGAGGTGAAGTGTGTGGAGAGAGAGAGAGAGAGTGTTGTGAAGAAGAAGCCATTGGGTTTGGTTTTTGGGAGACTGAGTTTTAATTTTTGTTTAATTAATAAATAAAAATAAATATAGTTAATTTTTTTTCTTTGGGGGGTGTTTTTTTTTAAGGTTCTCTATAAAGCTAACAACAAAAACATCTACGCAAATGTCCCAAGAATCTGATCAAGAAGACGTAATAAAGGCAGTGGAGGAATGGCGTTGGTCCGAAATGCAAGGTCTTGAGCTCGTCTCCGCTTCCAGCAAAAGCCCACCAAACCCAGAAACAGAGACGCCGGAGATGGAGAATTCCGGTGGCCCTCCGCCGTCACCTCCGCCTCCTCCGCCGTCGTCTGCGGCGGTGGAAGAGCCCAGGAAGGAGGAGATTCCGGGTGTTGCGTTCAAGGAGCTCTTCAGATTCGCCGACAGTTTGGATTATGTCTTGATGGGTATTGGTTCAGTTGGGGCCTTCGTCCATGGCTGCTCTCTGCCTCTGTTTCTCCGTTTCTTCGCTGATCTCGTCAACTCCTTTGGTTCAAATGCTAACAACGTCGATAAGATGATGCAAGAAGTCCTCAAGGTACGAACTTTCCATCTCCAAATTTGGAAACTTTCACCTCCGAAAGTACAGAAACTGGACTAAATTCCATGAAAAAACTGAAATTTTTTTCTTCTGGCAGTATGCTCTTTACTTCCTGGTGGTCGGTGCTGCAATCTGGGCATCTTCATGGGCAGGTGAAGAAACAGCAAATACCACCACCCTTTATTGTTCTTGATCCGATTCCAAATCTGAGACATTCGGGATTAAATGTATGTTGTGTTTCTGCGCAGAGATTTCGTGTTGGATGTGGACAGGAGAGAGACAGACGACGAAGATGAGGATAAAATACTTAGAAGCAGCTCTGAACCAAGACATCCAGTTCTTCGACACCGAGGTCCGAACCTCCGATGTCGTTTTCGCCATTAATACCGACGCTGTCATGGTTCAAGACGCCATCAGCGAGAAAGTAACTCGCTTTCTTCCTTCACATCTCTCTCTCTCTCTACCTCATCTCTGTTCTTGACCTGCTTGAACTCTCTCTCTCTCTCTCTCTCTCTCTCTCTCTCTGCAACAGCTGGGCAATTTCATCCATTACATGGCGACATTTGTGTCGGGATTCGTGGTGGGTTTCACCGCAGTGTGGCAATTAGCACTCGTGACGCTGGCTGTGGTTCCATTAATAGCTGTGATCGGAGGAATTCACACTGCTACTCTGGCTAAGCTCTCTAACAAGAGCCAAGATGCTCTTTCCCAAGCTGGGAATATCGTCGAACAGGTAACGAACACAAAACAAAAAAAACCCATCAATCATTTCTCCATTTCTTCATCTGGGTTTTCTCTGATTCGATCTCAAATGACAGACAGTGGTGCAAATCAGGGTCGTGCTGGCATTCGTCGGCGAATCTAGGGCTCTTCAAGCTTATTCCTCTGCTCTGAGAATTTCTCAGAAGATCGGATACAAAATTGGTTTGGCTAAAGGAATGGGATTAGGCGGAACTTACTTCGTTGTCTTCTGTTGTTACGCCTTGTTGCTTTGGTACGGTGGTTACCTTGTTCGTCACCACTCCACCAATGGCGGTCTCGCCATTGCCACCATGTTCGCCGTCATGATCGGCGGCTTGTAAGTTCCTCCTCCTTCTCCTCCTTTCCTTCTCCATCTCGATTCGTATCACTGTCTTGATCTTTGATCTTTGATTTAGGGCATTGGGTCAATCAGCTCCGAGCATGTCGGCGTTCGCGAAAGCGAAGGTCGCTGCTGCGAAAATCTTCAGAATCATCGATCACAAGCCATCGATAGAGCGAAACAGCGAGTTGGGCTTGGAGCTTGACTCAGTTACAGGACTCGTCGAGCTAAAGAGCGTTGATTTCTCGTACCCATCGAGACCAGATGTCAAGATCCTTAACAACTTCTCACTCTCCGTTCCTGCCGGAAAGACCATAGCTTTGGTCGGAAGCAGCGGATCCGGTAAAAGCACCGTGGTCTCGCTCATCGAGAGATTCTACGACCCGTCCTCGGGTAATATTTGAGAACCCGACACTCGGAATTTACGAAAATAAAAAAAAATTACGTAATTGTAGGGTTTAGATATTATTGTGTTTCTCGTGTAGGTCAAGTTCTGCTCGACGGGCACGATCTGAAAGGGTTGAAACTGCGATGGTTAAGACAGCAAATCGGGCTCGTGAGCCAAGAACCCGCATTGTTCGCCACAACCATAAAGGAAAACATCCTTTTGGGCCGACCCGACGCCGATCACGTCGAGATCGAGGAGGCGGCTCGAGTGGCCAACGCTCATTCCTTCATCGTCAAGTTACCCGACGGGTTCGACACCCAGGTCCGTATTAAGAATCTAATAACCGAAGAATGAGGTCAATTCGGTTTGGTTATTTAACCGAACAAAATCGATCATTTTGGTTTGGTTGAATTATTTCGGTTCAATCTAGTCTTTTAATATATCTATGTAATAGTTTCCTCAATCAACCTAACGACAGAAAATATTCTTCATTTTTTTTTATGTAAATACGTATATTCTTTCATGTTTTGAATATTTTATTGGGTTTTATTTTCTTTTTTTGTTTTGTTTTTATTTGGTTGCGAAAGATTGTTTGGTTAAATTTTTTTATGGATATAACCGAACCATACTGTTTTAAAACTGAACCGAACCAATTTAAATCATATTATCATCCGGTTATATTTTTTTTAAAGAATTGAATCAACCAATACAACCGAACCGAAACCCGGAAAATGGACACTGTTCAGTCCTTGAGTTGTGTATAAGTTACAGTCTATTTTGTGTTCTGAAACTTTATTGAAGCCGGAAAAAATGGCAGGTGGGGGAGAGAGGGTTGCAGCTTTCGGGAGGGCAGAAGCAGAGAATAGCGATAGCTCGGGCGATGCTGAAGAATCCGGCGATACTTCTCTTAGATGAGGCGACGAGCGCTTTGGATTCCGAATCCGAGAAACTCGTTCAGGAGGCGCTGGATCGTTTCATGATCGGGAGGACGACTCTCGTCATCGCTCACCGCCTTTCCACCATCCGAAAAGCCGACCTCGTCGCCGTTCTTCAGCAGGGAAGCGTCTCGGAGATCGGGACTCACGACGAGCTTCTGGCCAAGGGTGACAACGGAATCTATTCCAAGCTTATCAGGATGCAAGAGGCCGCTCATGAAGCTGCCATGAACAATGCCAGAAAGAGTAGTGCAAGGTACGTGATTCACCTCGCCTCGGGAGCTTTTCTGAAAAGGATACGGTTTTATGCAGTTGGGTACGTTCTCGGGTAAAAAAGAAAACATTTTGTGTGGTTGGATACTACGTTCTCGGATGAAAAGGATAGGTTGTGTGGCCGGATACGTTCTCGGGTTAAAAAGGATACGTTTTGTATGGTCGGATACGTTCTTCGGGTAAAAAAAGAATATGTTTTGTGCGGCCGGGTGCGTTCTCAGGCGTGTGTTTGCATAGATGGTAACTGTTTTTTTTTTTGTCGCAGACCATCGAGCGCTAGAAACTCCGTGAGCTCACCGATAATCGCTCGGAACTCATCATACGGAAGATCACCATACTCGAGGAGACTATCCGATTTCTCGACGTCGGATTTCAGCCTATCGCTCGAAGCTTCTTCATATCCGAACTACCGTCATGAGAAACTCGCGTTCAAGGATCAAGCGAGCTCGTTCTGGCGACTCGCGAAGATGAACTCTCCCGAATGGAAATACGCTCTCGTCGGATCGGTCGGCTCTGTCATCTGTGGATCCCTCAGCGCGTTCTTCGCCTACGTACTCAGCGCCGTCCTTAGCATATACTACAACCCGAACCACGAGTACATGATCCGAGAGATCGATAAATACTGCTACCTCCTTATCGGCCTCTCTTCCTCCGCTCTTCTCTTCAACACACTCCAGCATTCATTCTGGGATATCGTTGGCGAGAATCTTACGAAGAGGGTTCGGGAAAAGATGCTCGCAGCTGTTCTCAAGAACGAGATGGCTTGGTTTGATCAAGAAGAGAACGAGAGCGCAAGAATCGCCGCGAGGTTGGCCCTCGACGCGAACAACGTGAGATCGGCCATTGGGGACAGGATTTCTGTCATCGTTCAGAATACGGCATTGATGCTCGTCGCTTGCACCGCTGGTTTCGTCTTGCAATGGAGACTTGCTCTCGTCCTCATTGCTGTCTTCCCCGTCGTCGTTGCAGCTACTGTTTTACAGGTTTGGTTGCAACCTATGCATAAAATCCGAGTTTTTTCACGTTGAAATTCGATATAATTGTTAACATTTCGACGTGTTTCACTCTTGAACAGAAAATGTTTATGAAGGGATTCTCGGGGGATCTCGAAGCGGCACATGCCAAGGGCACGCAGCTCGCGGGCGAGGCTATAGCGAATGTTCGGACTGTCGCTGCATTCAACTCCGAGTCAAAAATTGTTCGTCTCTTCACTGAAAATCTAGAACCACCGCTGAAACGCTGTTTCTGGAAAGGTCAGATAGCAGGCAGCGGGTATGGAGTCGCCCAGTTCGCTCTCTATGCTTCGTACGCTCTTGGGCTATGGTATGCGTCGTGGCTCGTGAAGCACGGGATTTCAGACTTCTCGAAAACCATCAGGGTTTTCATGGTTTTGATGGTCTCAGCCAATGGCGCAGCCGAGACGCTCACCCTGGCTCCTGATTTCATCAAGGGTGGACAGGCGATGCGTTCAGTTTTCGAGCTCCTCGACCGGAAAACCGAGATAGAACCCGACGATCCTGATACCACCCCAGTCCCCGACAGGCTTCGAGGCGAGGTTGAGCTCAAACACATCGACTTCTCTTACCCTTCACGACCCGATATCCAGATTTTCCGGGACCTCAGCCTCCGTGCCAGGGCTGGGAAAACTCTAGCTCTCGTTGGACCGAGCGGATGCGGCAAAAGCTCGGTTATCACGCTGATTCAAAGATTTTACGAGCCATCATCGGGTAGAGTCATGGTCGATGGGAAAGACATCCGAAAATACAATCTCAAGTCACTGCGGAAACACATCGCCATAGTTCCTCAAGAGCCATGCTTGTTCGCGACGACGATCCGCGAAAACATCGCCTATGGCCACGACGAAAACCCGACCGAGGAAGAGATCGTACAAGCTGCGACTCTGGCAAACGCCCACAAATTTATCTCTTCGCTACCCGATGGATACAAAACGTACGTAGGGGAGAGAGGAGTTCAGCTTTCGGGAGGGCAGAAACAGAGGATTGCCATAGCCCGAGCCCTCGTTCGGAAAGCCGAGATCATGCTCCTCGACGAGGCGACGAGCGCTCTGGATGCGGAATCGGAAAGATCGGTACAGGAAGCGTTGGATCACGCGTGTTCGGGGAGAACGACGATTGTCGTGGCTCATCGATTGTCGACGATCCGAAACGCGAACGTGATCGCGGTGATCGACGACGGGAAAGTGGCGGAACAAGGGTCGCATTCTCATCTTCTGAAGAATTTTCCGGACGGAATCTACGCGAGAATGATACAGTTGCAGAGATTCACGCATAGTCAAGTGATCGGAATGACTTCTGGTTCGAGCTCGAGAGCTAAAGATGATGATCCCAAAGAGAATTAGATCCGTACGGAAAGATGAAACAGGGGAACGATCTGTACGGACACTTGAATTACTATTTTTTTTTTTTGCTTATTTTTGGAACTATGATATCAGATTTGATGGTATAGTGTTTTGTGTATTATGAAATTATTATGATATCATCTTCTAATTTTTCAATCGATCAAATCATCCGGAAACCCCAACTTTTTCTTTTTAATTAATCTGTTTTGAATTTTAATTATATGACAAATTTAATTTAATAAGAATTATGGTTTTTATTTTATTATTTATGGATGATTGAGGTTTTAAATAAACGTTTTAAAGTTGCTTTTTTTTGTTGAATGTTTACTATAGGTTAAATATTTATATATTTTTTTTTAAATTTTGATTTCATTATTAATGTGAATGTATGAATTGCTAAACGATATTTCAAAGTTAACAATAGATTTTATTTTAAAATTTAATTTAAAATATAAGAGTTTTTTTTACAGTTATAATAGTTAAAAATTGTGTAAATTTAGAATTTTTTTTACGATGAATTGGTTTTTCTTTAGTGAATGCAATCATAATACACCAAAACAAAATAAAAACTGAACCACCGTGTTTTTGAATTGTTACGCCGACTCAATATCTGTAACCCTGTTTCACTTGTAAATAACAGAATGATTATAATAAAGATACTTTAATTTCAGATAATTATGAGATTATGTTATACTGGTCTGACTTTAAAAAAAAATAATCTGTGATATTACCTAACAACTAACCATTAGGATTTGAAATTCGTGGTCTAAATAATTACGTTTGTTTAACCTGCTTTTGTAATACTTTTATAAATATTTGTCGGGTTCACTTTAAAGAATATGTTCGGTGGAACCATAAAATAAATAATTTGATCCCATTCTGATTTTTCGATCATATATTTTTTTCCTTCTCTATAAAAAAATTAGATCATATTGAACATAAATAATCAAATTATTGGCCGATTAGTAAAAACTGAAATATCCCTTTTGATATTATTTGGAATGTGCATTTTTTTTTTACTGTACAACTAGATTCCACCAAACAAATATTATATTTGGGATATATGTTTAAAAAAGGTTCAATAATTCTATGAAAATTATAAGCGGTATTTTATAATTAAATTAATTCATTTAATTTTTTGGCGTGTGACAAAAAAAAGGCGGTCCATATGGTCCAATATGTGTTGAAAATTGGAACAAAAAGAAGAAAAATCCAAAAAAAAGATAACATCCTTTTGCAAAGATTTTGGACCTTCCAGTTTCATTCTTTGATTGTCTTCACGCGTGCGATGATATAAATTATACATATACCATAATATATACATTTATATGCATGAATCTATGATATACATATATATATATATATGTGTGTATATATATATATATGTTAGGTTTGTGGAAAATGACAAGAAGAAGATGATGGCTTCGGTGTCATTATGAGCCTTCTTTCTCCATTAATGGGCCTCCATTTGTGTATGAATAACGTCCATATTCGTGAGGTTTTGAATTTTATATTTACTACAAAATTAGATAGCGTGGTAAAATTTTTTTATTTTCTAAATAATAATAATTTTATTTTGGTTTGTCTTTTGATTTTTTTAATATAATTTAAAATTTTATTTGATGGATTTTTAGAGAAATTTTAGTTTGATATAATTATTTATATTCAAAATAAAATAAAAATGTAGAATTTTTAAGATGATAACATTTAGTACATATAAAAGCAAAACAATTAAAATCTGAAAGCATATATTAGTCTAAAATATTATGTATCTAATGTTGTTTATCATCATCGAATGAATCATATATCCTTGATGTACGCGTTGTAAAGATGATGTATCTATTGCAATCCCTTTAGAGATTGGATTACACTTACATGAATTCCAATAGGTTGCAATATTTCTCTTTTATATTAAATATAAAATTAGCAGTTTGAATTTTTTTTTCCTATTACAGTTTGGAAAAAAATAGAAAATATTCCTTTAAGAAAAAATAGAAAAAAAAAACAAAGAAAAGGGGAATTAGAGGACAAGTTTTTCTTCTGAAAAGGGAAAGAAAAGTATTTCTTCTTCGGAAAAAAGGCTGCGAAAAGAAAAGACAAAAGTTATATTCGAAGACACATTTGCAGTAAAAAAAAAATAAAAATTCTTCATTCTTTCACTGAAAAGTGAAAAATCTGCAGAAAAAAAATAAAAAGAAAACTGGCACCAAAAAGAAGATTCCAACAAGAATTAGCTGTTTCTGTTGTTCGTCACCTTCTTTTTTTTTTTCCAAGTATCTACACTTGTATAAAAATAATTATCTTGTTTAATGAAATTTTGAAATTTTTTTTAAAATAAATTATTTTGAAAAAAAATCATACTTTTGAAGGAACAATATCTGTCTTTCTACATGAAACAAATCTATTTAACTAAGTTTACAGACAAAAAGAAGATCAACTGACATTAGCCTTATTTTACTGTATTTTATTTTATTTTAGATTATAAGGTTTGATGAGTTGTGTTGAGTTATTATTTTGATTTTTTTAGTTAACTGGGGAATAATTTATGATATTATATTTTTATATATATTAGTAGTTTGTCATCCGACGTTATTTTTATTAAATAAATATTTAAGTAAATCGACGTTGAGAGGTGATTTCGGTTCGTTTCATTTTTTACCTTAAAAAAAATCATGTTTTTGAAGTAATTATATCTCTGTCTTTCTACATGGAGCAAATCTATTCAACTAAGTTTACGGACAAAGAGAAACTCATTTTTGTTTGTTTTTGTCATTAGTTTCCTAATATTTTGTTCAAATACGAGTTATTCGTGCAAGCATTAATCATATTTTCTTTTTTCATTTATTTTTTCTCCATAATATAAATCTAGATGTTCCTATATAATATATTTTTTTTGGGTGGGATGTGAATATTCTGCAACAAAATTAATCCTCCGTAAATGTTCATAACTTCATATATATACGTAAAAAATATTATTTATGATTATCTCGCAATTTCAAGGAATCATGTCTGTTCCCGTCTTCTTCCAATTTCACATCTGCAGTCCGTTTTTGGATGATAAAATGATCATTGTTATCAATTAAAGGATTTTAAAATAAAAACATATTACATTTTGAAATAATTTTCCAATTTTCATTATTGTCAATTAACTGACATATCTATAAAAATCAACCATTTTATCGAACTAAACCCAAATTAATATAAAAATAAAATCAAACCTGATTTCTTTAGAAAAATAAAATCTTAAAATCGAAATCGAACCGAACTAATTTAATATAAAACCGAAATGCCACCAATCTCCTACTGGCATTGGGCTTACTGGGCCAAGTTCTAGTCAAAGTTATTGGGCCAGGAGGTAAAAATCCAGTCCACCCCAGTAGATATACTCACCACAATTTCTCAACTCAATAGCTTAAACCCATCGACAACCGGAAATACGAACCGGAAAAAACCGAACCATAACCGAAAAGAACAAAACTAGATTAAAAAAGGTTAAACCCAAACCGCATTGAAACGAAGAAAACCAAACACTATGAAGAGAAAAACACAAACCTGTCACGACAAAACTTGTATACAAACGCATTTATACCATTAATTTAGGAAACAACATCAGAAATCTCCTGTTGAGAAAACTCTTGTATATATGTCCATATACACATATATATCATGTATATATATACCTATGTACGAATGTATGCATATATATATATATGCATACATAAATATATATATATATACATATATATGTATATATATATATCTTTATTTATATAATAGGGTTTTAAAACTTTTAAAACCGGAGTATTTTGGTCAAACGGCGTATCAAAATTCAGATATGAATCATATGATTAGTTTGTTAACGTCTTGTTGCAATTGTCGCAATCATTAGAAACTGTAAACGGTCTATCAAACTTTCCCATTGCGTTCTCCTGTGAGATCAAATACCTCAATTTGTAAAATTTGCGTAAATTTACTGAATAAGAATTTTGTATGCATATAAATATATATATATATATATATATGTATGTATACATGTGTATATGTGTGTATGTTTTGTTTTTTTAATTTTTGTTGATATGGTAAGTTTTTAGTGATGTTATAATTCTTGGTGATGGTATTAACAACCCTATCGCAAGTAGTGATAATATGCATCCAGTTGGGGATTGATAAAGCTATGTTTAATGTGTCCTTGGATTGCAAAATACAAATGTTTAGTCCAGACTTACTCCATATGTGATATCTAATTGCTGATGAAGGTGAGAAATGATCATTGGTACCACTACAAAAAAACTGTTTTTTTCAATAAAATTTCTTCGTTGCAAACGACAAAATTTCGTTGCAAATGAACGTTTGCAACGAAATAACGACAAATTTTTTTCCGTTGTTTACTCGTCATTGCAAAAGACAAATCGTCGATAATCGTTGCAACTTGTAACATAGTAGTAACGAAACAAATTTCGTCGCAATCTTTGCAACGAAATTACAACGCTTACATTTTCGTTGCAAGTTAAAACGAAATAATATCGTTGTCATAACATTGCTCATTTTGCAGTGCAATTTCGTTGATAGTAGCAACGATTTAGAAATGAAAATATTTCGTTGCAAGTTTGCAACGATTAGCAACACAACGTTTTCGTTGCTACTAGCAACGAAAAGCAATGCATTTGGAGGTAGTTGTGTCGCTGTTTCAACTCGTCGTACTCAGCTCTCGACACAAAATTGTTCTGCACCTGTTGCTCTAATTCTTGAAATCGTCACTGAAGTGTGATAATCTCCTGAACAACTGGGGCCCCTCCTTCTCCGACAGCGGTGTTGATGATATCTTGTTTGAGCGACTCAAGTCCATATATACGACCGTATTTGTTCGGCTTTACGGTCTGAATTCAAATGACAAAGTTATTGTGTTATTTATAATTAAATAAATACAAAATCATAATTAAAAATATACAAATTTACCTAGATGTATAGCTCATCGATTTGTTGTTGAGACAATTGCATTGAACTATTGATTCCCAATGCAGTTGCTTGAGATTCTTCAAGCATTGTTTGCAATGACATGTAATATATATATAAGATTTTAAAATAATGTGATTAATATATATATATATATATATATATATATGAATATTTATAAATTTAATTATACGTACTCCTTC